AAGAAAAGGGGAGCACTTAAGAGTAAATCTTTTGTAGTTTATACAGAATATTTTGGGGGGAGAGAAAAATATGGAGCTAATAGAATTCTGTTCATTATAGTAGCAAATATATTAGGTTATTAAGCATAGAATGTCCAATTTCCTTAAGTACTAAGTTTGACTATTGATATCTCTAACATTTCACTTTGACACGTTTTTTTTTAATCGTGAAGGTACATTCTCAGTCTTTCAAACGCACATTTTGGCTTGTGATTATCTTTCAATTTTTTTTTAGAGCAATTTTTGTGAAACCATGGATGGATAAGTAAAAAAAATTCTTGTTAGTTCTGAATGTGAGTCCCGCTATGGAAGCAATGCAGCGCAGGCAGCTTGAAATATCAACAAAGTGTTTGGGAAAGATGTGGCTAATGAACGCACAGTACATAGATGGTTTGAGAACTTCCATTCTGGGGATTTTAATCTTGAAAATGAGCCATGTGGTGACCTGAGACCAAGGTGGATAATGATGAGCTGAAAGCTGTAGTGGAAGTGAATCCATCTAAACCTACTTATGAATTAGCAGCAAAGTTTGACATTACTATTCCAACAACATTGGACCATTTGAAACAAATCAGCAAGGTAAAGAAGCTGCATAGATGGGTACCATATGAATTAAACACGCTTCAGAAATCATCTGCAAGCTTGCCTTTCTTTGCTGTGATGACATAAAGGTGAACCATTTCTATACCATATTGTTACATGTGATGAAACATGGATTCTTTTCAACAATCACAAGCATTCGGCACAATGGTTTTATAAAGATGAAGTGCCAAAACACAATCCAAAACTGAATATTCATCAAAAAAAGCTAATGGTGTCTGTTTGGAGGTCCAGCGTTGGTATTATCCACTACAGCTTCATGAAACCTGGTCAGGTAGATTACAACGGATGTCTACTACAACCAGTTGGATGAAACAATGAGGATGCTTGTGATTAAGCAGCTGAGATTGGTCAACAGAGACAAGTTAATCCTCTTGCAAGACCACTTGTCACAAAAGACAATGCTGCTCAAACTATAGAAGCTGGACTTGAAAACTCTGTCATCCACTGTATTCACCACACCTTGCTCCAACTGACTACCACTTCTTCCAGGCTTTGGACCACTTCTTGCAAAGAAAAATATTCAATTCTCAACAAGCTGTGTAAAATGCCTTTCATGATTTCATTGCCACTTGCTCTCCAGGCTTCTTCGCTGCTGGCATAAGCAAGCTACCACTATGATGGCAAAACTGTGTCGATAGTTTAGGCACATACTTTGATTACCTGGACTGCTTCTTGTTTGAGATATAATAAACTATACTTTTCATTTGAAATCAGACTTTTCATATTTAATGACCTAAAATATTATGGTACAGAGAAAACATCAGATTTTTCCATACCGTTATATAAACAAATTACATTTGCTAATGTCCTTCTTAAAGAGCACACGTCAAAACTAAACATACTTTTCTACTTAAAGCAGAGTGGGACTATTACTTCCCTAATTATGGATGTCGCCAACAGTCAAGCTACAAATTCAGTTTAACTCTCTTCTTCACCCCTACCTTCACATCAATCATCAATTCCTTTTGGGTCTAATTTAAGCATCTATTGGATATGCATCCCTACTGCCACTGGCTCATTTCACAGCTTAATGTCTCTCAAGGATAACAGTCTACTGACCAGTATCTTTTCTTCCAATTCATCTTTTGAAAATAAATCTTTTTACCTGTAAGATTAAATATGAATTCTTTAACTTGGTATATAAACCTCACAATGTGATGCCAGTCTACCTTGGCGGACTTCTGCCATTGCACCCTCAGACCTTCACTGCCATCTCACATGGCACTCCCACCACCATGATCTTGCGGGATGCCCTAACACACCCCGTTCTTCTCTCCACTGTGACCGCAAATTCTTTCCCTTCTGCTTCAGGTGCCAGGTCTGAGCTTATCAAATTTCTCATCTATTAAGAACTGGCTCATGGAGTACTTTGCTCTCTGAGCATTTTGGGCAGATTTAGTCAGTCTTTCCTCAGTGACATGCCAGGCATTTCTACCATTTACCACCCTGTCAGTTATTATCTTCAGCTGTGGCTTTCCCCTTAGTGTCCAGTCCTCCCAGGAGCACAACAGTTAAGAGCTGGGGATCCATAGTAGAAGAGGTACGGGCTAGAGTTCTGGCAAGACTAGCCATGACTGTAAACAAATTAATTCACATCTCTTGAGCCTAAGTTTTTTAACCTGTAAAGTAGAAATAATAGTAATACCAACATCATAAGAGTAATGTGGATTAAATGAGATAATCAATGTATTTTGAAAATCTAGCATTGTGCCTGGCACATAGTAGGGACCCAATAAATATCGATTCTTATCATTATATCATCACCCAAACTCTCTCTTCCCTCCAACCACATGGTTTTAGAATATGAAGTTCCTTTACCTATCTGAACAGAATGAGTTGGTTTTCTTTTAAAAATCTTCAGTTCACAGTTCAAGGAAAAAAATCAATATTTAAATTAGTTTCAAAGTTCAAAATATTACAACCCAGTCCTGTCTAGAATTAAGTTAGGTTTAAGTCATTTCTGTGAAAAGGCAGATTCTATAGGTAGAAATTTAAGATGTCATTTTCCTATAGAGGACAAGAAATAAATATGTTCAACAAATATTTCATGAATGAAAGGAATGGGATGAAGAGGTTTTGGAGAAAACAATTCATCTACACTCATTCAATCCAACATGTATCGTACACATGTTATGTGTCAGGCACTATGCTCAGCATCAGACACACAGAATATAAGAAAGTACAAGTAACCTTTCACATGTTACAATGATATCTAATTAAAATGCCTGGAGCCACAAGAAACCCTTTTTCCCTTCTAATGAAAAGTAGGTTAAAATTGGATTCATCAAATCTCACGTAAGAAAATAATACACACATTGAACTTTTAGTCTTTTATTTTGATTCAGATGGCTGGACAAGGCATCTACATTCTAGAACATCTTCTTAACAATCACTAAACAAGTGAAAGGCTACTTATATATAAAAAGATAAGGGGAAAAGGTCATGATTGTCTCACAGGGAACATGAATCCCCAAATAAGTTATCTTACAAAAATAACACACTTGCTTTTCTTTTTCTACTACCAGTAAAATGAAAAAAAGAAAAAAAAATTCACATTAAAAAAAATCCGTAGGCTGGTATAGCAAGTTAAGACCATTATTTTTACATATTAAGTCCTTCAAATAAATATTTTATACAAATTTATGTTTTCAAAAAAATAGGTTAAGTATTTACCCTATATATTTTTTGTCCACTAAAAGACCATTTATCAAACTGGCATTAAACTGGACTGTAGCTCATACCCTACAAATAGTAACACACATCACTGAGGCTGGAATGTACATGTCCATATTACATACATGTGAAATGGCTAACACTGCTGTGCATACTACTTCTATAAGTAGTTTTACCCTGTAAAAATCCTCTAGCCTATCTTGAATCAAATTGCAAGGAAAGAACAAAAGATAACACTTGCCTATTATGAGCCGGGTACAGTGGCTGTAATCCTAACACTTTGGGAGGCCAAGGTGGGAGGATCACTTGAGGCCAGGAGTTTAAGACCAGCCTGAGCAACACAGCGAGATTCCTGTCTCTATAAAAATTTTAAAAATTAGCCTGGTGTGGCTGTGCACACCTGTAATCCTAACACTGTGGGAGGCTGAGGTGCGAGAAATGCTTGAAGCCAGGAGTTCCAGTCCAACCTGAGCAAAAGCGAGACCCTGTCTCTACAAAAAACAGAAAAATCAACCTGGTGTAGTCACATACACCTGTAGTCCCAGCTACCTGGAAGGCTGAGGCAGGAGGATCACTTGAGCCCAAGAGTTTGAGGTTGCTGTGAGCTATGACGACGCCACTGCACTCTAGCTCAGGCAACAGAGCGAGACCCTTGTACACACACGTGTGTATATACATATGTATACACATATATACACATAGACATTTGCTCAGGTGTTTTAAAAATTGAAAAAATAATAATACTTTTAGGGACTTAAAAGGTTACTGAATACGGGCCAGGTGCAGTGACTCACACCTATAATCCCAGCACTTTGGGAGACAGACATTGGAGGATTACTTGAGCCCAGGAGTTTAAGACCGGCCTGAGCAACAAAGTGAAATCCCATCTCTACAAAAAATAAGAAAAATTAGCCAAGTGTGGTGCCATGCACTTGTAGCCCTAGCTACTTGGGAGGTTGAGGCAGGAGGATGGCTTGAGCTCAGGAGTTTGGGGCTGCAATAAACTATGATCAGGCCACTGCACTCCAGCCTCGGTGACAGAGTGAGATCTTGTCTCAAAAAGAGAAAAGAAAAGAGGAGAGGGAGAGAGAGAGAGGGAGAGGGAGGGAGAGGGGGAGGGGAGAGAGGGAGAGGGGAGGAAAAGAAAGGAAAAGAGAAAAAGGAAAGATTATTAACACGGAATAAAAGTCAACACTGCTTACCAATACCTGAACATAGAGAGCACAGTTAACATACTCATGTGGAAAGCACATGAGTAAATGTATATTACAGAACTCTGGCTTCCACCTGGTCTATTCCTGTTGTTTTATTCTAATATTTTTATATGGCCTTGGATCCTGATGATGATTTAATAAATAATACATTAAGTTTTTGTACTAATAACCAATTTTAAGAAGTACAGGCCAGGCACACTGGCTCATGCCTATAATCCTAGCACTTTGGGAGGCTGAGGCGGAAGGACTACTTGAGCCCAGGAGTTTGAGACCAGACTGAGCAATAGTGAGACCCCGTCTCTACCAGAAAAAAAGAAAAGAAAAAAAGAAGTACAGTGGACAGGTGTAGGACTTTCTATATCTTTTCGTACTTTTAAAGCCAATTTGATTTTTATTGTGATATATTTCAACTAAAAATATGCTAAGAATAAAATTAATTAAATTATGGTTTTGTCCACAACATTTAAGTCACTTACTGCTAAAATATTACAAAAGGAATCCAGTAAACACGTTCTATTTCCAATGGCCTGAGAGATGAAATAAACTATTTTTTATCAGTTACAACTAAACTGGGCTGAGGACAGCTACCTTCAACCCTGAAAACAAAGCCAAGCATCCAAAAGTCTAAAACACTAACACTTTCCATCCAGGATAGAAAAATGAGCATCCAAAGTAAAGAGAACCACAAGATTGATCAAGTAACCAATCAAAAACCACTTCTCTGTTATTCGAGCTAATAGTTACTCGAAGCTTGAAGTTTCCACCTTCGTTATTATTGGTGGTTCCTAGAGTCACAGCTTCAACGTCAAATGTTACAGTGGATCCAGAAGTAACTGCAGGCAACTGATTAGTCATTTCTTTTCCATTTACAAAAACTGCACCTAAAATGTTAAAGAGTCATTTACATGTGAGCAATAGCTAAGAGAATAGAAATAGCTTCTCTTACTGGTAACACAACTAATTTCCTAATTCAGATTTTAAAAAACACTTTGAAATGACAACAGGACATAGATAACACACTTAAATACGTTAATTAACCCTCATCCCCATGGCAGGAGAAAAAGCTTAAACCTTTATCACATTTTGGAGTTTTGGTCGAGGGTACTACTCTTTTCCAACAGAGACTGTGAGTTTCCCTTATCAAGAGCATCAAAAGAAACCTGACACCATTATAAAATGACATCCTGTGAAATAACACGATTGTTTCATATGGAATAAACAAGAATCTTGTTCTACTTAATGCTTGACCCCACACCACAAAATATTAGCATGTCTTGGTAGTGATTTTTAAAAGTGTGATTACTATGGAGTAAGGCATCAAAGAGTACTACAGATACAGGTTAAATGATCTGTCGTAGGACAATGCTGGCTCATGGTAGCAAAATAAATTAAATCATTAAGATACAAACACTCTCATTTCCTACTACAAACATGTAACATTGGGACAGATTCATATCTTACTACAGTAATTCACAGATTCCAAGGAGAATGACAAGTATTTAACTCTTACCATTGGTACTAATGCACACAGCTTGATCCCGCTGCAGAGACTCATATCCATTCTGTTTTTCTGCACACACCCCTATGCTGTCTCTTCTGTCTGGTTGTCCCACAGTTTCAACTCTGTAAATGAAGTAGAAAGATCATTTCATCTTTTAAAAATATAACGTGATACCTAACAGCTACTAGCTTAAAGAAAAAGCAATCTTATCACAATTGTTCTTTTCTAAATAATAGTAGCTAACAAGGAATAGCACTTACTATATTCTAGGCACTGTTCCAAATATTTTGTATCTATCTATAAATAATCTCATCCAATTCTCACAAAATATGAGGTAGGTGCTATTATCATCATACCCATTTTATAGGTGGGGAGAATGAGGCAAAAAAGAAAAAATAAGATTAAAAATGGCTAAATAACTTGACCCTGATCACCTGCCTGATGACTGGTGGAACCAGGACCCAAACCCAGGCATTCTGATTCTAGAGTCTATATATTCTTAACCATTTATAGCTATAACAGAACATTTCTATTTTATGTTCTGACTCTAGACACACAGAAAATTTATCATATTTGACATAATTAGTGTGACTATTACTGTTACCACCTAAACCTTGAATATGAGAGTCTGCAATGATCTGATTACTATTTATCAAGTATTTTTTAAAGAATTTAAATACAGACATTACAGTCCTAAAACAAGAACATTATGGTTATGAACACACTATTTTGCTTGGAGAACTTCATATGTAGAAAGTTTAAGTCTTTCTCTTTGTATTTTAGTTTCAAATCTGTCAATATACTATGTACTCTAGAAATAGAAATTGTAAGTATAAAGGTCGACACATATCCCTATTACCAGACTCAACTTTGTCTTCATTCCAAAAAGCCAGACTTTGCAAAGACAAAAAAACAAAGGAAAAAAGTGTGGAACTGAATGTGGCTTTTCCAAAAGATGATTATTTATACTCAATGTGGCCTCAAAATGTCCTTAAAGTGGCAAGCACGCAGGATCATAATCAATATGTGGTGGGTTTCTGAAGTCATTTCACCTCTGAGCCAACAGTCTAAAGAGATAGGGGAAAGAGTGTGATGCCAGCAAGACGGGAGAACAGGAATTCTCAGGCCTTGTTCTCCCACAGAAACACTGATTTAACAATGTTATACAGAACAAAATACCTTTATGACAATTCCACAATCCGGTTAAGAAGTTGCAATACCCCACGTGAGCACAAAGCCAAGCACAGCAAATTGAAACGGGTAAGAACAATTTAACTTTATCCCCATCAGCCCCTCCCCCGTACCAGTACAGCTCAGTGCCAGGCTAGAACATTCCAGCTTATGACTTCTCCCTCTGGAGGGAAGAAGAGCAGAAGAGCAAAGTGTATATCTAGTGTTCTGGCTCTTCAGAGGACTGCCGGAGAGACTGGTTTCTGTCTTGTCTCACTTGGAGTGCTGATGGAAGCAACATACTTGGGATGCCTGGGGGCTGCTGAGAACAAAGAATAGTGGAGAGCTGCTTGCTGTGGGCAGCATGACTTCATGACACTGGGAGAAGGGCCCAACTTGAAGTTTCAACCTCAGGAGAGAGGGAGAGAAACAGAATGTGCATCAGGCTCTCCAGCTTTTAGGAAGGCTGCTCGCCTGATTTGGGGAGTTGGCATACTTTGGATGCCTGGTGGTCACTGAAAATGAGAGGGGGGGATGGCTTGCTGCTGTAGAACCAGAGAATTTGCAGTGCTGCAGACAGACACTAGAGGGAGCCAGAAATTACGAGCTCCTGAAAAAGGAACCAGCAAGCCTCTCTATGATAGAGAAAATACAGGCAGAGGTCCAGAGAAATTGTATTGGCCAAAAAGGTTTCATAGGTCCCCAAAACACCTAGCTGAGCTGATTCGTGACAGTGATTGAACACGATTTTCCCCTGAACATTGCTAACCCATGAAGACTGGGAGAAGTCGCTATTTTTTCAAATGTACAGATGCCGTCACAGAGTTACAAGATACATGAAAAAACAAAGAAACATGAACCAAAGGATCAAAATAAACCTCCATAATCCAATCCTAAAGAAAGAGGTATATAAATTACCTAACGAAGTATTCAAAGTAACTCATAAAGACGCTCTATGAATTTAAGAAAATAATGCATGAACAAAGAACGAACATCAACAAAAAGACTGAAAATATAAAAAGAACCAAAAAGAGCTTTGGGAGCTGAAGAATATAATAAGAGCACTGAAAAATTCACTAAAGGGTTTCAAAAGCAGACTTGATCAACCAAAAGGATCAACAAACTCAAAGACAGGTTATTTGAAATTATACAGTCAAAGGAACAATAAGAAAGAAGAATAGCTGGCCATGGTGGCTCACGCCTGTAAGCCTAGTACTCTAGGAGGAAAGAGACTCAGGAGTTCAAGACCAGCCTGAGCAAGAGCGAGACTCCCTCTCTACTAAGAACAGAAAAATTAGATGGGCATCGTGGTACACACCTGTAGTCCCAACTACTGGGAGGCAGAGGCAAGAGGATCACCTGAGCCCAGGAGTTTGAGGTTGCAGTGAGCTACGATGACACCACCGCACTCTAACCACAGTGACATAGCAAGACTCTGTCTCCAAAAAAAAATAAGAAGAATGGAAAAGACTAAAGAAAGCATAAGGGACTTATGGGACACCACGAATAGACCAATTTACACATTATGAAAGTCCCAAAAGGAGAAGAGAGAGAAAGAGAAAGAGAAAGGAATAGGCCGGGCGCGGTGGCCCACATCTGTAATCCTAGCACTCTGGGAGGCCGAGGTGGGAGGATTGCTTGAGCTCAGGAGTTCGAGACCAGCCTGAGCAAGAGCAAGACCTTGTCTCTACTATAAATAGAAAGAAATTAGCCAAACAACTAAAAATAGAAAAAAATTAGCCAGGCATGGTGCTGCGTGCCTGTAGTCCCAGCTACCCGGGAGGCTGAAGCAGGAGGATCGCTTGAGCCCAGGCGTTTGAGGTTGCTGTGAGCTAGGCTGACACCACGGCACTCTAGCCTAGGCAAAAGAGTGAGACTCTGTCTCAAAAAAAAAAGAGAAAAGAACAGAATGTTTATTTGAAGATATGATGGCTGAAAACTTCTCAAATCTGGGGAAGGAAATGTATATCCAGACTGAAGAAGCCAATGGTCTTCAACCGGATAAACCAAAGAAATCCACATTAAGACACAGTTAACCAAAATTATCAAAAGTGAAAGATAGAGAAAGAATTTTAAAAGTAAGAAGGAAAGAAGCAACTTATCACATACAAGGAAACAACTATAAGACTGTCAGCAGGTTTCTCAGCAGAAATCTTGCAGGGCAGAAGAGAATGGGACAATATAAAGTGCTGAAAGAAAAAATACTGCCAACCAAGAGTATTATATCTAGCAATACTGTCTTTCAAAAACACAAAGGAAATAAAGTCTTCCCCAGATAAACAAAAACTGAGGAAGTTTATCACCATAAGATTTGTCTTATAGCTTTAATTATGGTATAGAAGCTAAAAGTATAAAAAATAACTATACAAATATAAAAAGTATTCACCATATAAAAAGATGTAATTTAGGACATTGATAATACAAAGTCTGTGTGTGTGAGAGAAGTAAAAGTGTAGAGTATTTGTATGTGATTGACATTAAGTTTGTTTTTTTGAGACAGTCTCACTCTGTTGCCCAGGCTAGAGTGCTGTGGCATTAGCCTAGCTCACAGCCTGGGCTCAAGCGATCTTCCTTCCTCAGCCTCCTGAATAGCTGGGACAACAGGTGCACACCACCATGCCCAGCTAACTTTTTCTATTTTTAGTTGCCCAGCTAAGTTTTTCTATTTTTAGTAGAGACAGGGTCTCGCTCTTGCTCAGGCTGCTCTTGAACTCCTGACCTCAAGTGTTCCTTCCTCCCTCGGCCTCCAAGAGTGCTAGGATTACAGGTGTGAGCCACCACGCCCAGCCACATTAAATTGTTAACAGCTTAAAACAGATTATTATAATTAAAAGATGTCTTAAGTAAGTGCCATGGTAACCACAAAGAAAATATGCACAGAAGATACACAAAAGAAAATGATAAACGGGCAGGGTATGGTGGTGGCTCAAGTCTGCAATCTCAGCATTTTGGGAGGCCAAGGTGGGAAGACTGCTGGAAGTCAGGAGTTCCAGACCAGCCTGAACAAGAGCAAGACCCTGTCTCTACAAAAAGTAGAAAAATCAGCCAGGTGTGGTGGCCCATGCCTATAGCCCCAGCTACTCTTGGGGCTGAGGCAGGAGGATCCCTTGAGCCCAGGGGCCTGAGGTTGCAGTGAGCTATGATGATGCCACTACACTAGCCTGGGTGACAAAGCAAGACCCTGTCAAAAAAAAAAAAAAAAAAAAAAAAAAAAAAAAGAAAAGAAAAAGAAAGAAAGAAAATGATAAAGGAATCAAAGCATGTCTGATTAATAAAAATCAATGAAACAAAAAGAGAGCAAGAGAGGAAAAGAGGAACAATAAAGCTTATAGCTTATAGACAAGAAACAATAAACAAAATGACAATAGTAAGTTCTTCCCTATCAAGAATTACTTTAAATTTAAATGAATTAAACTCACCAGCCAAAAAATAGAGTGGCTGAATGGATTAAAAAACCAAGATCTATCTCTATGTTGTCTATAGTAGACTCACTTTCAATTTAAAGACACAAATAGGCAGAAAGTAAAAGGATAGAAAAAGATACTCTGTGTAATGGTGACCACAAGAAAGTAGGGGTGGCCATACTGTTTCAGAAAAAACAGACTTTAAGCAAAAACTGTCAAAAGAGACAAGAAGAACATTATATAGTAATAAAAGGTTAACTCACCAGGAAGATGTGGCAATTATATATGCAACCAGTATCAGAGCACTCAAATATATAATGCAAACATTGGACAGAACCAAAGGGAGAAAGAGACAGCAACATAATAACAGTAAGAGATTTCAACATCCCACTTTCAGTAACGGATAGAGATCAATAAGGAAACACAGGACTTGAACAATCCTATAGACCAAACAGACCTAACAAGTATATATACAACATTCTACTGAACAAGAGCAGAATACACATTCTTCTCAAGCACACACAGAACATTCTCTAAGATAGGTCAGA